GCGTTACAAGTAACAAGTAACGCGTTACTGCCCATCTCTGGTCACAACTCTTAGCTAATGCCAATGCTCCCCATTTCTCACAAAAACATGACAAAATATCAGTGCTTGGGAAGAAGAGCAAACATATGGACACATTATATATTTAATGTCAAGGGAAATGAGACGCTTTATGAAACATGTGCAGGAACTATCAGTAAAAACACGACAAACTAAGACGTTATATTTTTATTCAGCTGAATCAACTTTAGTTTTGTCTGTGACAGGCTTATTTAGTTGACTAGACTGAAACTAAAAGAATTTAGATGATTAAATTATTAAATTATGATTGCACCTAAATAACATGTTAGCAGAAACACTACATCATTAAAACTACATCAAAATTTGTGTCAAAATTAACAATGCTGTGGAAACATAGCTAGCATTAGAAAGAAAAGGAGTTTCTGTGAATTATCATTGTAACAAATAGGTTTTCTCTTACTGGTCATCTTGGCCAACGTGTTTAATGTAGAATAGATAAAGTGCAATGTCAGAACGTTTTCATTCATTCCATTAGCACGTGAGGAAAGAAAACCCTGATAATGGACAGATGGCTTCGGCACTTGGTTGAATAAATTTACAAAGTTTAACCAGCTGTTTTGCTAATACACCACCTTCACCCTGTCTTTCAGTTGTGATTTCATTTATTTTTAATATATCTAATTATATATTATATACCTCTTTTTTAAAAATCAATGCATAGCCCTGCTTTTCTGAGTTTTTTAACATATAGATGAGGTAGGATGTTAAATATGACAGCTGGGATTGGCTCTAGCCCCACCCGTAACCCTGATAAGGATAAGTGGAAGAGAATGCATGGATATATTTAGATAGTTGTCGTTAAATAATTATAGATGAGCGCATAAATATGTATATATATTAACGTAACAAGGGACTGCATATGTATATATTAGGCGGTAACCAGAACAAAAATATATCATGAAGTAATTAGAAGTAGGAATTAATACGAGTACGCATCCTCCTAATGATTGGAGGAATGGCTTTTAATGATTTTCTTTTAACTGTAAAGCAGACATCTTTAATGACTAAAAAACAAGAATTGCTGCACAACATAACACATCAAGTTAAGTGTCACCTTGACCAGATGTTTTTGGTAGCCATCAAAAAGTTTCTTGCTGGATTTTAAACTCTGTGCCTCAGCATCCACAGACCCCGTTTTGTGATTTTTATAATATCACAAAATATCT